GAGCAAGACCCTAAAAGCAGGGGGCGTGGTAACGGCTGCGCCACCGCACGCCTCGTGGCAAACCACTGAGCAGGGCGCATTTGGGGCCTGGCCCTGCCTCGAGGGGCAGGGGCTCCCAGTCCTTCCCCCTCTCTCCAGGCTGTTCCTGCACCAGATGGGGCACAGGGTGTTGGCCTAGAGGAGGTGTCGGGGGGGCTCTGTCAGCTCCTTCACACGTAATGAGAATTCAGAGGCACAGAAAGGTCCCGTTCCCCCTCCCCGGCTCCGAGGCCTCATAAATATTAATAGCCGGTTCAGCTGCCTTTGTGCATGTTAAGTGACAGCTCATGAATAATCCAAGAGTTCAGTCCCTTTGCTTGCGGGTGAGCAGAGATGTGTCCCCTCTCCACCCCCTGCTCCCTGGGCTGGGGCAACAAAGCCCGGAGCCCTTAGCAGAGTGGCAGAGACTGAGCATTGCCCCCGCGGCCTTTCCAAAGAGTGACCCTGAGGTGTATGCATGAGGGCAGGGCCCCGCGGCTGCATTATTCATGTGGCTGCAGGAAGCTGGCGCCTTGACGCCAGACGGGAGCTGGGGAACTAGTCAGCGCCCTTGGTGCCTGCCCGGGCTGGCCGTTCAGTAGCTCGGTGCCAGAAAGCCATGGATACCACTTCAGGAGGAGGAGGGGTTGGCTCTCCTGGTGGGAGCCTTGACACCAGAAAAAAAACCTTCCAGCTCCCTGGAGAAGAACTGCTGATGCACAAATCCAAGAGACCTCCCTTTCCCTTAGGGCAAATGGGGTTGTGGGTTAGGAAAGGGAGGTGGGGAGCAGTGTTCCCTCTTAATTGTTTCCACCCATGTGCGGAATACATTTTGTTCTGCGCACTAAAGCATGCACAGAGGTGCACCACCAGTAGAAACACCTGCTGCCAGCAGTGGGTGCTCTGCTCAACAGCTGGGTGGCATTTGAAGCACTCAGCTTACAGGGAACACTGGTGGGGAGGGACAGCTTGGTTCTGGCATGAGCGCTCCCCCATCTGGCCCGCTATTCCCAGGAAGTGCCTTTGTCCTGCCCTTTTTGTAGCGAGGTGCCTGGCCACGTGCTGTTGTGCTCCAGCGGCAGGACTCCAGTGTTGTCTCCTGCGGGATGGTGGTTTCCTGATTCCCACTCACGGGCGTCGGAACTGAGCTGTGACCGTGATGCCGGAGGGGTTACTCCCAGCAGGAGAGGTTTTGGGTGCCATATGCGGTGAAGGGCCGGGATTTGCTCCAGGTTGGCTGTGGCTGCTCAGGTTTCCCCTTCAGTCTTGGGCTGAGGATCCAAACAGGCTGTGCAGATGCTCTGCAGTTCAGCCGCACAAGCCCTTGTGCAGCAATTCTGTGTACAGGTGCAGAAACGGAGCGACAGACGGGACCAGGACCTGCCCACCGGGAGGGGCGCGGCAGCAAATAGTTGCTTGGTAGATCACGTGCACCAGAACCGAACCCGGGTCTCCTGCCTGCGAGCCCCGTGGAGGAGGGGCACCCTCGGTGGCCCGGGAGCTCTGCTGGTTGCCTCACGTCCGCGCTTCCTCCGCACAGGGGGGTCCGGCAGCATGGCTGGGCGCACGGTGACCAGGACCTGCCCACCGGGAGGGGCGCGGCAGCAAATAGTTGCTTGGTAGATCACGTGCACCAGAACCGAACCCGGGTCTCCTGCCTGCGAGCCCCGTGGAGGAGGGGCACCCTCGGTGGCCCGGGAGCTCTGCTGGTTGCCTCACGTCCGCGCTTCCTCCGCACAGGGGGGTCCGGCAGCATGGCTGGGCGCACGGTGCGCGTGGGGGGGATCCCCACAGACATCCCGCCGGAGAGAGTCGCCGACAAGCTCACCATCCACTTCCTGCGCGCCCGCAACGGCGGGCGCCG